TTGAATGAAGAATGGGCTTACAGGGTGGCTTTAGTACCTCTCAAACAGCACACAAGCATTACTGATGCTATTCTAATTCTTGTCACTTTCATCCCATCACTTGTTAACAAACTCAGGCTTTCAATCTCAGCATTTGAGTGTAGTTCCTGCATAGCAGTTGGACAGCGACTGAATTTCTTACAAGCTGATGAGGCAGACAGTATCTATCATCATAAAACATTCCTATTCACTCATATGTCCGGGAATGACTATCTTCCAGTTTCATTGACCAACAGTAGAGGTCTTACAGAATATTTATCTTGTAAGGAACACCTGGTAGTTTACCTGTATATATCTCAACTCAGAATGCTGGCCAGGACATTGACCTGTAGTGTATAGTTTTCAGGAAGTGTGATTTTCCTTTTTCCTGGTCTCTGCTATTACTAATTAGAAAACACCGCTGTCCAAGAGTAAATATACTTGAAGTATATGCTCCGGCATTCTACACAGCATCAGACAGTACATCTGACCATACACTCGAGATCAAAGACCTTCCCTGTTTCTGCTACTCAATGTACGCAGTTACTGGGAAACATGTTCACTAGACTAATTCTCTCTGCTAATATTTTCATTTAACTACTTGTAGTTTGTTACAAAGGTGAATTAGAAAAGTGGTATTACATACCTGTAATGAATTCTACTTAGCTCCACACCCCACTCTCTGATAAGTTGAAAAACTAGTGCTAACAAAAATTAATTACACTCTAGCTCATAATAATGATGCAAAGAATTCTGTTGAGCACTGTCTATTTTGTCCATAAAAAAATTCAACCAAAGAAATAATTTTGGCCTCTTATCATAACAAATCACATCTTAAACTAAAATAACTTTCCCCAACTCATAATGAAAATCGTTCAGATATGAATGAGAAGGTCATTGTAACGTCTCAAAGACACATTGCATTGAAACACTTGTTACACTACATATACCAGGAGTTGGTTCCGAGAAGAGTTGTACTCCCCAAGCCCAACCTGGGACCAGGCTTGACTTGTGATAACTTCGTTTAAAGGATGACCAAACTACAACTCAGAAGATGGAGAAGCAACAACGTTTCGATCTGTCCTGGACCCTTATCATGTCATCATGTGATCTAAAGGACTGTTGCTTGAAATGTACATTCATTCATAATTATACAGTGGCTGAAAAGGGTTAATATGGGAATTTCATCTATTTCAACATATACATTTTCAGAAATGCAACTTGCAGATTATTCCTAGGAGCAGCCTGATGGCTTTACTTAGAATGCAGAGATGCCTTAGAGCAGCATTTTTTAACCACTATGCCACAGCACACCAAGGTAACTAGGGGTTCCACAAGAGATATGGATAAATAGGCTAATTCTAATCATATGTAAATATATTTTCGAATCATTCTTGTGTTTAATTTGGCTCGTTTACCCAGTATCACGAGCAAAGACAGAAATCGTCTCCCTTCAGTTGACAAGGAAATCCATGCACTGCATGTTTATCTAAATTACAAGGCAGAATTATTTCAGAGGTACAAAACCAAAAAACACTGCCTTAGAGAATAATGACCACAGCTGCACAACAAAATATTGTACAGAAATAAAATAAAGAGTGAAATTCTGAATATTTTATAAAATGAGTATAATAATTTTGTACAGTATATTGTATTTGCTGTATTTATGAATTCAACACTTGGGTTGCAATTGAATATGTTGATCAAATATATAGTTTACATGCCAGAAGTGAATTATTTGTTATCACCAAAGAAACTCTTCCACTAGAAGTTAGTAGTTCTTAAATCTCAGAGTGCAGCTATCATAAAAATTGTTGATAATCGTGTGCCAAAAAATAAAACTTGAGTTGAATGTAATTTCTGGTAGGGCCTTGGTGGCTCCCTGAAGCTGAGATAGCTCCACAGAGATGAGTCACACCAACATTATAAGTTCTGAATAGCCTATTGGGAACCAGTCAGAACCTGGCCTTCTCATAGAGGCACAAGGAGCAGGAAATGGCTAAAATCACCCTCGCTGACAAGACATCCAAAAAGTAAGTTAAGCAATATAGACAACTGCAAGGTTCACAGAGAGAAAAGAACTAGGCAGCAAATGACTGTAAAAAGTTCATTCAATGGCTAGACAAACCCCCACTAACCCCCTAGTGGGGGTTTGACCACTAACAGTTGGCAGAATTACAGGGAGCTCCCAGCTTCCACATCATCAGAACCTTAGTCTAGAGCTGAAACACGATGAACCGATACATCTGGAAAGATAAAGGGAAGGGTTCAGGAAGCTAACAAGGCCTTACCAGAAATAGGAGTTTCATTACAATCAATGCTAGTTTCCTGGAGGGGCTAAATGCTGGCTCACTGAAGCTAATTAATAACAGTGTAGAAGGAAAACACAGGGCTCACCAGGGAGGAGAGAGCAAGCAACTCTCACAAAGATGAAGAGCTCAGGATGGCAAACTTGACCCAGGGCAACCCAAGCCTGACAAGGACCAGGGACATTGACCCTGGTCCTGGTAACAAGCTGCCAGGACCCTTTTAGTCCTCCAAAACTCCCCTGAGCCCTAATATAAGCCCATTACATGTTTGAAAATGCTGTGGATAAAGCCACAAACTAGCATACATCATGGGCCCAAGGGTAGACTTTAGGCTAGTTATACTTAATTAATAACCCTGCAGACGACCTGGGACAAATGAGCCTTGGAACAGGGAACCATGAAAACAGGTCAACAATGTGTCCACCAAAGCAGAGTGGGTGGAGTACAAATAGGGATGAACTGCCCCAACTGGACAATTAATGATGCACCTCTGGCTAGACAAACCAAGCATCAATAAAAAAAGGAGCCCTTGAAAGGCTAAAAGCCAACTATTTCATTCTTAGGAAGAAAAGATGGAGGAGGTTACAAAAGAAGAAACCACCCACTAGGGCTGAAAGAACAGAAACCATGCCCGCATGAGGACAGCATGATGCTCCCCAACTCAACAACCGAAGGTGAAAGTCAAGAAAAACAGAGCCTTTAGCAAGTATTCAGGACCTAAGGGGCAACTGTGGACCAAGAGTAGGAAAGAAAAACAACCCCCCTATCGAGAGACTAAGGTGACTTGGGAGGAACATGAGCCAGCTCTAGGTGAAAGAAATCACGAGGCAACATGTAGAATGGCGCTGAAGAGACATTGATGCCAAATTCCAACAAGAATGCCTCCACTAAAGCTGAGCGATAAGAAGACTTTATTAGGCACAAGATGCCAAACAACAAAAACAAAAAAGGCTAAACCACTGAAACACACAGAAGAAACACATTGAAGAGAGACAAAGAGGTGAAAGGAGCACCAGGAAATTTCATACTGCTGTCGCAATGAATGATGCAAGTGGGACACCAATAATTCAGCCACTTGCTTACCACAAAAATGGTAGTAGACCTGTATCAAAAACTCCAAATGCATAGATCAGTGGAAGTCAAACCAACAAGATACATTCAGCAGGGCAATTAGCTGAAAGAGGCAGAGCCCCACACACACACAAAAAATAAACCCAGGTTAGGATGCTGGGACAGAAGAGCCAAACACCAAGTCTGAGCTGATCACCAAGGAGCCAATAGAATCGACCTCCTTGGTGGTCAAGGAGTATGAGTATGTCTCCAACCTGGAGAACACCCATAGTAATACTTGAACTGGGAGGGAAGAGCTAAGAAGAACCCCCACCCCAACCAGTCCAGATGAAAAATATCCACAGCAGGAGCCACATGATCGAGGAAAGAAGCCATATGGTAGGAAAGTGGCTAGTTCCGTGGTGATGGAAAGAGGTTCACCTTGGGGCAACCGAACATCTCACAGTGCCAACACAACACATTACTGACGCACCCACTTCATGGAAATGAGACAGAAGCGAGATAAACTGTCCGCAAGAATGTTGGACACACCTCACATGTGAACTGTGCATAAAACCAAACCTTGAGAAGCTAGAAGCCAAATCACATGCATACATACTATATATACAGTATACACAGGCATGTCAAACATGCAGCCCACACAAAGGATACTATAATTTAGTCATTTAACTGCCAAAATTGAAGTTTTTATAATTTAAACTATCACCTTTTAATAGATTTCAAAAGCACAAAAGAAACACGAATGCAGCTGTGAGGCAAGAGAGTTAAGACTTCTAAAAATAGACATGATGTTAACTGAGACCTGCTTGATGGGTTTCTGGGAGTTGTTCTACTCCACAAGCCCGGCCTGAAGCCAGGCTTAACTAATTGTTAAGCTGGCCTAAATTTTATTTCATTTTTTTAACAGATTTTATTTTTAATTTTCATTTTTTATTTTTCAGATTCCACATCTCTTTAATTACTATGGACACAATTAACAAATCTTAATTTAAAATTACAAGGTAAAAACAAACTCATCACTCAGTTGTATGATGACATCAAGTGCTTCATTACTAAACTAAGCTTAAGGAAGTCACAGTTGTCAAATGAAAATTTAGTTAATTTTCCTAGATGCAAAAAGCTGAAAAATACTGCCAATACCGAGTCTGTATTTAGCTTTGTTATGACAGTCATCTGGAATTGTTGTCAAAGGAATTTCAGGAAAGTTTTGGGCTGAGCGGACGATCGGCACAATGGCGTTAGTGACGTTTGCTTGTTTTAGTCTGGGAGTTTTGCCCCCCTGTTCGGTTTTAAGTAGCAATTTTTACCTTGTGGGGGTTTGTTTTGTTATGCCTACCTTGCTGGATGCCAAATCCCCCGGTCAATGGCAAATATGGAATGCTTCCAAACAAATTGGGGATTTCCATAGGCCATTGCTCCTTGTGCCTCTCTGAGGGGGCCAGGTTCTGGCTCGTGGTCTCTGGTAGGCAAAAACTCCATCGACTGATGCCATGGTCTAATACATACAGTACATATCAGCTCGGTAAGCTCCGGGGAGCCGTAGAGGCTCCCCACAGAAAAGCATTATTAAAAAAAATTAAAGGGGGAAAAATAGGTGCATAATTATATACATACTTTTAATTTGTGAATAAAATACATAAAATTCCTAGTATCGAGCTACTTGGGTCATATTTTCTATTAGAAAATTGTATAAAAAATATATTTTAATTTTCAGATTTATTGTTTATGCTTCTGCTTGATAATCAAGGTCATACTGTATATACTGTAGATTTCAAAAAGAAATTAAGAGATTAAGTCACATTTTGGAATAATTACTAATTAAAAATAATAAAATAATTAATAAAAAATTATCGATAACTGTTCAAATGTTAATTGTTTAGAACTCCAATCAGAAGGTGATTTTTTGGAGAGCATGTTTCTGGCTCCATACATACCAGTTTTGTATTATAGCCGAGTGATTGTGCTAGTAGTAGTCTGTCAGTGTCTATTAGTTTCATACATAACTGACCCTGTCCAGTTTTGGGATTGCTTTCATCATGAGTTTGATCTGCAGCATGACCTAGAGTAAGGTACTCATTTAAAGTAAGAGGCAGACGAGAAAAGCGCTCACTACGGGGATACTTAAGAATGTGATTTGGTTGAACTGCCCCATAGCAGCATGGACTGCAAATAAATGCAGCCTTTTGTTTCAGGCATTTAAGCATCACCAAATCAGTTGCGACTCCACATGCATGTAGGGAGACTCCTATATTAAAGTGACCTTTAAAATAATCAAGATTACACTGTATAAATTCAACATTTTTTAATTCTAAGGCTTCAACTCGCATCTTAGCCCGCACTAATGAAGCCTCTTTATTCTCAACTAGTAACACCTTGCATTCTGGAAGACAGTAAGCTGCAACTATGCCGACATGACCTCCCCCAGCACAAAAGTCAACTATCACATCACCTTTTTTAGTAATAGACTTTACAGCAGAAACAACATTTTCGAGTTGCTGACACTTTCTATTAAGTCTAGATAAAGGAAGTTGACCCTCTTGTGGGCTTACTGCTGATGGAAATGATGACCAAGGAAGTGAGATGCCATCTGAAGGATGATCATCAAAAACTGGTTCAATGGCTGCCTCTTCTGTGATCTTTAAAACTTTTTCTATGTCATCTTGATGTGTAAATGCCCTCCAACGAGGCTTATACCTCTCGGGATCACTTTTATAAATGCTCTCGTATGGAATTTTGGGAATTACAAATTCCCCAGGAGTAATAACAATTTGTTCTGCAGATATGTGAGACAAGGTCTTCTGGAGAACGGGTAATGCCTTTTGAACATGACAATCACTTGAAATGAGTTTATACCACCCAACAACTAAAGGAAACACATCCAGCATTTTCTGCATGCCCACTAAAGTTTGTAACTTTGATAGAATTATGTGGAAACTAGCAAAAAGTACAGTGTCTGCCAAGGTCATGTCTAATCCTTCTGCATATTTGTGTTCTAACTGTGGCAGTTCATCCATTCTTTTCTGACAAAGCTCTTGCTGCTCACTTTTATCACGGACTGTGCTTCTGATGTGCTCTTGTTTCTTCTTGAGAGCATTGTGAAGGATAGGTGGGTGCTGCAGGTGGTGCTCATATCTCAATATCTCTTTTGGCAATTCAATCTTTCCACTGTAATTATACCCACCCTTGAAAACTGTTTTAAGCATTTTAATTGTTTCCACTTCACAAAACTTTGTCCACACACTGACTTCAGCACATGCCTGTAAACAACCTCCTCTAAACCCTAACAGGCCCTTGCAGTAATGTTTTGGGTGTACATCAATTGTCCGATTCAAAATAAACCTCAGCGAAGAACATAAGCCTGCTACACACCAATGTTGTGATACCATCATAACTGCTGGCAGCATACATTTTTTAATCATATCTGGGCAATCATTTTCATCTTTTATTATTATTTCAAAATTCAAACTACTCGTAATTACTGGGAACCAGGGATCCTCTTCCGAGCATAAAGTATCAACAAAAGACTCACCGTGCTTTTGTTTCTCTACCAGCACCACATTCACAGCTGGGTTATAGCAATATTGCAGAGTGAACAGAGCTATAAGAGTTTCACTAGAAACCCACAACTCCTCGCCGTCTTTTCTCCCTTCCAGATACAGGTTATCGTGCTCCATACCGAATATCCAAATGTTAATGTGGCACTGAAAAACAATGGCTGTATATAAATAATTACATTTATATATTGTCATAATTTATATGTATATGTGACTGACACTATACAAATAAAGAGAATATGTGCCAAGTCAAAATTTTAAATACAATACACTACTGTGAATACGTCAACTATATTGCAGAACAGTGACTGGAAGAGTACTGTACAAGAAATCTGCAACAGAGATTAAACCAAGAACAATGTAGGTTCCATGATGAAAGAGCTTGCATGAAACAGATATCTACAATGAGGATAGCTAGTGGAGAAGGCCTGTGATAAAGATTGCAAGTACATAATGCTTATGGACATGGAACTGTATTCCATGTAAAGACATGGTACTGTACTCGACAAAAAAAAAAAAAAAATTGAGCGACACTAGAGTAACAAGCATGTATGGAGTTGACAGAATTGTGTGAAATGTTCAGAAGAATTTGTATTTAGGAAGTATAGCACGTAAAACAGATATTGGCATCATAAGTGTTTGGGCTGATATTATTGTAGGTGAATAGATCTAAGAGATGGAAAGAGTCTAAGCAACCCTTAAACTGCACATATTATTTCTGTTCCTGTTTTGGCATGAGCATGAAAAAGTCTTAATTTTTTTTTTACATTGTTAATTAGCATACAGAAAACATGAAAATTCAATTAAAATGTTTATCTATCGTGGTTTAGCTGTAGTGGCCGGGAGAATTTGTGGTTTTCTGGTGAAAATGAGACACGGTGCCGGACAGGAATAACTTTGTCGATATATTTTCATTGTTTCTCAGTCTATTTATTTAGTTTTATTCTAATTTGTTGTATTGATATGTCAATAGTGGTTTTCATTATATATGACTTTGAAAATACTGTATAAGTATTGAATGTACAGATATACGTGAATAAATGCATAAGTACTGGGTATCCACTTAGAAAAATGACATGAAAATTCTTAAATTTTTTGTTTCATTTTTATAAATGAATACTTAAATCATAACCAAATGCAAATGCATTTAGTGCATAACCAAATCACTATTTTTTGTAATTATTCTTGTATTATGTGTATAAATATATGCATACCCTGTATTTATTCATACTAATATAAAGTGTACATACAAGCCTAAATCTTATAATTGCACATAGCACACATTTTGTCTATTAAATACATACATGGAAATCACTCATTTGCTCTTTTTAAAAGTTCAATGGTTCCTAGCATGGCTGCTTTGCACATTCAGACACTGGATGGTGATGCACCAGACATGGTTCGCATATTTTTACTAAAGCCCTGGAAGCAAATTAACCCCTGTACTGCGCATTTATTTTTGGCAAAAACTTCATAGTGCAATTGTTAAGGACATATTTTTGTTGTTTTTATAAATGTTCAGGTAAAGTTAATGTCAAAATGTTTCCAAACTCAACTATTGTCATTTTAAAACACAAAGAGTGATGAAAACAAAAACCAGCGTTGAATGTAATGAAACGCCATTTTCTGGGTGAGACCCGGAGGCTCCCCGGAGCTTTACCGGCTGATATGCTAATGTCAGACTTTGGCATCAGTCATGTGTATGGAGTTCTAGGGCCTACCGGGGACCACGAGCCAGAACCTGGCCCCCTCAGAGAGGCAAGGGGAGCAATGGCCTATAAAAACCCCCGTGTGGTTGGAAGCATTCTATGTCTGCCATCGACCGGGTCAAGCATCCAGAAAGGTAAGCATTCCAAAACAAACCCCTATTCTGGTGAAAATTGCTACCTAAGCCGAACTAGTGAATAGAACTCTTCAACAGAAAACACGGAAACTAGTATGACGTCATACGTCACCGCCCCGCTGTCTGCGCAGCTCCCCCCTCCCCGGGAGGGGGAAGGGGGAGCCCCAGACCTCCCACGCCGGCTATCCACCCATCAGTTCTGAGGCTGGATGTCAAAACACGCGAAAAACGCCGACCGGAGGGAGGGAGGGTTGCCGGGGAGCCTCCGGGTCTCACCCAGAAAATGGCGTTTCATTACATTCAACGCTGGTTTTCTGGGGGGAGCCCCGTCGGCTCCCCGGAGCTAACTACCCACAGAGGAAGGTCAAAGGGACAAAACCGGGAGGCGGACACCACGCACCCCCCAAGGAGGCGAGACAACCGGCAGCAAACGCCAACCCAAGGCGCCACAGCCCCGAAAATCCCAGGAACAACACGAGAACCACGAGCAGCAAGGCCCCTGCACGAACACCAAAAATCCATGCCCGAAAGACTGCAAGGCCACGTCGCCCAGACGGCAGCGAGAGCAGCGAAGCCACGAACGCCACAGGCATGAGGGAAGAACACAGGCAGCTTAGCCACAAGAACACGGCTGACCACCCGGGACACCATCACCCGCGAACCGGGAAGAACAGAACCGGATCAACGCAAAACGCGCTCCGGACCCAAACGCCGTGGCACGCAAACAACAGCAGAGGGCCGCCACTGAACACAAAAACGACACACCCCCGGCCCGACCAACAAAGCACCAACAAACCCTGGACCCCTCCAGAATGCAGCAGCCCCACCCCGCGCCAGAAAAGATGGAGACTGCTGCCATCAAACAACCAAAACGCTAAAACCGAAGGAGCAAGAAAACACAGCGAACCGACCCCCAGAGGCAAAGGCCCAAAGGAAAGAGCCGACGAAAAAACACACCGGAACCGAAGGGGCACTACCAACCGAGGAGAAGACAGAGCACGCTGACCAGAGACCAGGATGGTGCAAGCGGCGCACGAACAGGCCGGAGGTGAAATGACGCACAAGACAGCTGACTAACGGTGCAGAAGCAACACCAAGACCGAAAGCAAGCTGAAGCGGCTCCGCCTGCGCCGCACGAAAAGAGGCGACAGTATGTGGCAAGACGACGGCCCCCAACCCCCACTAGAAAACCAAGCCGAGAGTAAACCAAGCCAACAAGAAGGACCCACCGAAGAAGGGACAGGAAAAGGAAGGACCGCCAAAATACCCCATACTGCCGCCAAGAAGCACGCAGGTGGGACACCTACCACGAAGCCACCCGACCACCAACCGGAGGCGAGACCACGAGGCAGAACAGAAGCAGCCCCGACAAGGCCCCCCCCAAGCCCAGGAAAAAGGCGGAGCCGCGAGAAGATCTCGGGCGCGACCACCGAAACCCAGGCGGCACAAGGAGATGGAACGTCTGCCGAACAGAAAAACTCCGAAGCATGCAAGCCCGCCAGGAGTTCAGAAACGACGGGTCCGACGCGAGACATCGCAAGAACCCCCCCAAAAAAATAAAACAACAACAACAACCGGCAGGGCAAGCTAGGAAAACCAAAGAAGGCGGAAGGGTCGCCGCCAGAACAGGACCCGAACCAAGGGGCCCGAACAACTGCAACAGACCGAGACAAAGAAGCACATCACAGGACACAGGCTGACCAACGCCTAAGAACACACGCAGAACATTCCTGCCGCAGAAGAGGCAGAAAGAAAGAGCAGAAGCACAAAAAAAAAAAAAAACCAGGAGAACAACCAGGGGTGGACAATCAGGCAGGGACAAAAACCCCACGCAATCCCCAGGCACAAAACGGCAGCAAAGCGCCACTCCACAACCGGACACAGGAACAAGGACACGCCACCGTGAAACACGGTACCAATGCTCACGTGCAGCAGCAGCAGCAACAGGCACCACTGCAACATGCAACATGTAAATAGCAACTCCCCTCTGCAAAGGCAGAGAACGGAGCAGGCAGACCCCAGACAGGGCCAACGGAGACACGACAAAACCCTGCAGGCCCAGAAACCTGCACCAGGCGACCGACGGCGGAGAAACCCCGCTCGATACCTGCTGGATGAGGTACTGGGAGCTCTTTTACACCTCAAGCCCGGCCCAAGGTCAGGCCAGACCGGCCAGAGGATGGCCCACCAGGCAGCTGCTAGGAGCAGTCCACCGGCCCACATACCCCCACAACCAGGACGGGCCGGAACTGCCATACGAAAACAGGCCAGTGCGCCCTGGAAGTCCACGGACGAACCAGCAAGAAGGCTTATGCTCGCAAGTAGGTCGTGTAACAAGCACAGACCACTGATGGTAATACAGTGTTCCCCAAAAGTGCCAATAGCACCACTGCACTCCACTGGTACTATCCCGCAAGTTCTACCAGATAGGCGGGACCCAAGAGCCAGAGCTCAAATCCTGCAAGCACAGCCAGGAGCCTCACCAGGTGAGTACAGAACCAACCCTACAACCCCCACACCTCACAACATTAAAAAAGGAGGGTCCCCTGAACGACTGTAGCATGGGTTGGACATGCACAGGAGGGGGACAGGAAGGGGTGATAAAGGGACAGTCACTGGTGTGCGAACGGTCTCAGTCGTACAAAATTATACCTAAATAAAGACAGGTATATGAACACCGCCGCATCCAGCGCCCGGCCAAAAGACGCCAGACCGCAGAAACTCACCTGGCGAATGGTGGCTCGAACTTGACACGACTCAACCGTGCCCAGAAGAACTCGGGAGCACCGCCAGGTGAAGACGCCAGAGCCGGACCCGCAGGAGAACAGGGAGAGGCGAAGGAGGCGGTCCACACCCATGACACAGAAAACCGCGGTGTCCTCCCCACAACTGGGAACCAGGACACCCCTGGCGCAAAGGGGCACATACCGCAGCCAGGGAGAAGAACGAGAGGCGAAGCACTGTAGCAAAAAAGGGCGCAAAACCCCAGCACTGAACCATCGCCCAGACCAAAACAAACTCCACGGCGCATGCGCATAACACGCTGGCCGAACCGCACACCCTCCCTGCGGGAAGGCGCCAGCCAGGACTATTGCACGAGAAAAAGAGCCAAAAGAGGAAGCAGGAACAAGAAAACCGGCCAAAGAAGCAAAGAGCCCAAAAAAGGGAACCCAAACGGGCGACAAGTAGCCCAAACGGCCGACAAGTAGCCCAACCGGGCGACAAGTAGCCCAACCGGGCGACAAGTAGCCCAACAGGGCGACAAGTAGCCCAACAGGGCGACAAGTAGCCCAACAGGGCGACAAGTAGCCCAACAGGGCGACAAGTACTAGGAGCCGACAGACGTTCCAATAATGCGGGAAGTAGCGAAAAACCTTCCCGTACCCTCGAGAACACAGAAGCCAACACTAGTCCCGAAGGCACACGAAGGCGCAGGCGCACCCGAGATCAAAAGTCACGCAGAACCCCATCGAACGGGGAAACATGACAAAAACACCGTCCCAAAAAGCGGGGGAGGAAACATCCACCCACAGGACGGAACCAACCGACTCAAAGGCCAAGGAACCGAGCCCGGGGAGGGGCCGACGTCCAACAGCACGTACGGCGAGTGGGGAGGAAAAACCCCACTCCGCGTAACCACAAGCCCCGCCTAGAGGGGGATAAAACCCCCCACGGGGTCTAACGGGGCCAAGGCCCCCCAAGTCAGCCCCTCCCCAGCCCCGGGAACCTACACGACAGGCCCCGGGGCCGAGCCGTTCCCCAAAGCCCCGGCCGTACCAGAAAACCGGGGCAGCCGTGAAAACACTAAGGAAGGGAGCCCACTGGCAGACTCATACAACACGGCTGGAGGAACAGGCCCAAATGCCCCCGTCACTACCCCGGAAGGGGAATTCCCCGAGACTGCCCGAGTCTCAACACCACCAAACACCCCGCCCTGAACCTACAGACGGTAAGGAACCGGATGCAGGCAGGAAGGGTGAACCAGGGGAAAAACGAAATACAACGGGGCAGCCCCGGGGCTCCCGGGGAGGAAACCACGAGAACGTTGCCACCACCAAGGCTCAAGTGCAACGCCCCTGCTGCCCGCACCCGCTTTGTTAGCACAACTGGGTAACCGAGCCACAACGAGCAACCAAACTCGCAGGACACCGGGTCGAAGGTGTCACCGACCCCACAGGCAGCAGACGGAGGCAAAACAGAGAGTCACCCAGAGACAAAAGGTGAGAGCAACCCTCAAACTCGCTGGAAGCGAGGGGGGGGCTCTGGGGTCACATCCATCGGACCCGCGCGCCCCCAGGGGTTTCCCAGGGTCCCGAGCGTTTACTTTAAGAGGGCTCGCGCTCAGGTAATCCCAGGCAGGGTACTGCTAACCGGCACCCAAGCTACCAAACAACTTTCTAAGAGCTGAACCCCCGGGACGTGTACACTCACGGGGACCTAGCAGGGGGTACCACCAGAAATACTCAGAACACAAGGGACACAAGGGGCAAGAACGAAGGCAGACCCCCCCACCAGGTATATAAACAAAAGAAAAAGAAAACCCCGCAAGAGGACAGCGTACCCAAGCGGAACAGAGCCGGCCGCTATGATTGGTAAAGACAAGCTGCACAGTACCCCGCGCCCCACCAGTGCAAACACTGCCCCTTACTCTAAGGCGAACAAGGGAGACAGAACACCCGAGCACACAAAGAGCGGCCGAAAACCAAGCGGTAAACGGCCAAGCAGGGGCAGGACCCAAGGAACTTGTGGAAGGTGGCCCCAAGCCCCAAGGGCAGTACTTACAGGGCACCTAGGGAAGGGAACCCTAGGCGCATGCAGCCCGAGTACTGAAGAATCACACCCGGCTCACGCACCACCTAGAAAACAGACACCACACTCTAGGTACAGTGCTGAAACAACCACTGGAGCCGGAGCACATAACCATTGCCTATAGCATCAGCCGAAGAACTGATGGGTGGATAGCCGGCGTGGGAGGTCTGGGGCTCCCCCTTCCCCCTCCCGGGGAGGGGGGAGCTGCGCAGACAGCGGCGCGGTGACGTATGACGTCATACTAGTTTCCGTGTTTTCTGTTGAAGAGTTCTATTCACTAGTTCGGCTTAGGTAGCAATTTTCACCAAATATAGCCCAATTAAAAAAAAAACACGGGGGTTTCTATAGGCCATTGCTCCCCTTGCCTCTCTGAGGGGGCCAGGTAGAGACAACTCTCAGAACGAGATTTCTCGGTTGGCGCAGCACAGTAGTTAAGGAACTCAGGATTTTTTCCAAATGTGACAAATGATTGACAGAGGTCTCTTGTGTCAAATGATGTCCTCCTATGTTGGGTGAAACTATTAAAATGAATGGGGCACCTTAAATCCTCTTTAGGAAACTGAAGCATAATGGGCCCATCACTTAAGAGATGATTTGAGCAGTTTAAGGATTAAATCATATGTCCAAGTAACTGGTCACCTCAACGGTCCTTTTAAAACATTCAAAGAACAATAACAGTTCAACTACAATACAGTAGAGTAATTAAGGTAGAAATGTGGGCACTTGCCTACATGTGAAGTATTGCTCCATTTAAAGTCCTGAAAGATTGATCAAGGTGTACAATAACTGTATATAAAGTACAGTATTGTACTGTACATTAATTTGTGGTGGACTTCAGAAAACTGGGACTTCTATAGTAAAGTTAAGTAGAGATGCTATATTGGCTAACTTCCTTTTATATGCTTAGTGCCACGGTGATCCTGACAGTTCCCATAATGCCATCCTTCATATAAAAATCCCTTGTCTTCATGAACAGCCATTCTATCATGTTTTAGCTACAAAAAAAAAAAATCCTTGCACCCTTGACTGTAAGAATGAGTGTGCATGATTTAAATTGGCTAGGAAAGATTAATACATGCTTTAGACAGTGGTTAGTAGGAGTATGTGATCATTCTGAAATACAGTCAATAAGATAATTGTATGTTTTGAGAAGTTAGTACGGATGAGTGTGTGTACTTGCAGTGTTAATCAATAAATTAATTTTTGTTACTGTAGAAAGTGCAGTTTGAAAAGTTTACTAGATAGGTTTTGCACATATTGAGAGGAAACCCATGAGTAGTAGTGCCTAAATTTAATTTACTCAAATTTTTACCACAAGGCAAGTGGCCTTATGTACTGTATAGATATTTCTCCAGATATTGCTATGACTGTAAGTTGCAGGTGCAAATGCTTAATGTAAATTTTAGACAGGATTATAAATTTATGATACTACTATTTTTGGTTTGTTCAGTAATAATAAAATCAAGAGCAAATACTAGTAATTTATTAAGATATTTGCAAGTAAATTTTGAAGAGAATTGGGCCAATCCAGAAACAAACAGGCAGAGACCACAACCCCACATGACGAGACACTATAACGAATCCCATACTGTGAATTCAGGTGGAAAAAAAGAAGCCCTACCTAATTACAAAAAAAAAAAAAAAAAAAAAACAGGCCTCACCCTGCAATGAAGGCAATGACTCTAAAAACAGAACAACCACCTGCCAACCAATGGAAGGCAAAAAGATTGGTTGTTTAACTGGACCAACCAACCAGACAACCTAAGACAAGCAGGATGGGAGGGCAGAAATACACACCCTAAAAACACTAGGCACTACACAGTGATGCCTGTAGTACAACGACTGAATAGCTTGGGGTACACAATTCATTTCACAAGGCAGATTGCGTGACATCAGAAAACCTACTAGACACCTCAGCCCACAACCAGGGCAGAAAGTAAAACAAAGGAACCATCCCCCCTCACAACCCAGACACGCAAAAACTAACTTCATCACAGTGATACACTACCAGTCAGGAGTGTTCCTCAAGCCCCCCAAACAGTTATGTTGGAGCCACACAAAGAACCACAGCAGGCAAAGAAACCCTGCAGAAGCCCAAAGAAAGTGATACCAATAAGGAAGGCTGGATCAGTTAAGGAAAAAAGCATTGCTCCTGCTGAAACAGGAGATAAACTACTACCGTCAACAAGCATGTGACCACAAGCAAACCACACGAGTATATCAGCACTTTCCGAATGTGGCAAGAGATGTAACAGGTCATGCACAGTGTCCTGGTGCACTATGCACTGTAACCTCCCTAACACTAGCAGAACAACTATTTTTTTGTAATGTTGCCTCCATCTGTGAACTCAGTCCTAACATCCTAAGCAAATCCACAAATCCCCTGCTTCTTGTTCATCTAATTGGGCGAGTAAATCCGGCATGAAAAGTGTGTGTTCCAATTGGAGATTCATCAAATTGATGTTTGTTGAATCATAAAAAAATTTTGTTTCTAGGTAGTGTTATTTTCTGATTACCTATGCCTCCAAAGAATAGAAAATGGCTTTTATTCCCCTCAAATTTTCCTTTGAGCTTTGCCTCAAGACTGCTGAGAAAAGACTGTTTTCAAGGCTCTTGAAGGCTGTTGACTCCTAACCTTGAGCTGTGACACACTGTTTCGTATGCTTGGTAGCTTTCAGGTACAGTCCCTTCAAGACATTTTCCTTAAGCTGCCTTTGGCAAATGTCAAAGGGACTAAAAATTTGAGGTGACTAAAATCCATTTTCTAAACTTTGGAGGCATAAGCAATAAGAAAATAACACCTACTTCCCAGGCCAAAAAATTCTTTGTTACACAAAGTTAAAACAATTTTGCATTGTTTATGAATGAATTCCTAAACAAAATAAAAAGTCTCTTGTCACAAAATCATTACTGCATACCAAGAACTTACCTTACACTGATGTTCTTGCTAAAAGATATGGATTCAAACGCCCTTGTGAACGAAGCTTCTGATATCTCAAAGCTGTTGAGAGACCTGCTATTACACCAATGGCAGCAACTAATCCCTCGAAGAGCCAAAATTGAAACTCCTCTTGCCACACTAACACCTCACAGCTAAAAATGAAAGGTCATATATAATGAGACTTATTTAAACCCCTTCTCACAGAAAATGCAACATACACCATTATCTCCTAGAAGAGGGGAGTGGTTAATCTAGCTCATTTGGATAATATTTGTAATAAATAGTGCCTTTCATGCACACACACACCAAATGAAGCACAAAGCCAAAGGAGTCATTGTACACAGCTGGTTTATACTACTCTTCTACATACATTTATTTCATGTTAATTAAGGATACACATGTGGATTATGTATGATGAAGTCACAAACACTGCTTCACAGAAGTACGAAAACCATTTCTCTCTCCAAGCTTATTACTCAAGCAATTCCATGGAGAACAAGGTATCAGTTTTACACAGAGGAATACAAACGTAATAACCAGCACAGTATGATTGTTTCAATGTAGCAGTAAATGGCAATGGCTAGGCTGGATTACCTTAAAAGGTCACTTTTATAGTTAACATTTTCTTTTCTATTAATATGCCCTAAATTACTATAGCCAATGCAACTGAAATTCTGCTACAAATTAAGCTAAGGGATGGTGAATGAGATTGATGTTACCTATCTTTAGTTTCAGGCAGAAGGCAGCTTCTCAGCCCAAGAAGTGGCAGCATGGAAATGGAAATGGCAGCATATCCCATGGAAATGTACTCTACTAGGCGCAATGCCCAGAAGCAACAAGGTAACCCTCAAGAAGGCCCGTGGAAGATACAAAACAAAACAAAATCTCAACAGGGACACCTATACATACAACTGAGAATATCATTCGAATATTCCCCAGATGTCAGAATTACCAAGAAGTGAGTACATATGCGATGAGAAGCATCCCAACCTGGAGACTGAGTAAACACACAGCTCTGAGTTGGCAAAACCTACTTAAAGTTTTGCCAACTCAGGGCTGGAGGGAGGGAGGAAGAAGAAACTGCAAGATGAAGGCACAACACCAACCTCGCTCAACAGTTGTGGCAAAATGAGCTGACCAAAAGAAAGGAAAGCAGAGGGAAGGCTTGACCAAACCCAGAGAAAGGCTGAAGAGAACCCCCCCCCTGAGGATCAACCCAAAGCATGCTGGAAAGGGAGCCTGTAAACCCGATGGTTGTTTAGTGAAATTAAATCAGAGCAATATTAATGCTTCCTGGGAATAATGAGCATCAGGCCCAAAAGGTTGGGTGGGGTACTCTAGTTCTGACACTTCTGATTATGCAAAACCACTTTAAACTTTTGGTTATCAAATTATGAGAATAGGCAGGGAGATATCATAAAGTCAAGTTGTCTCAGGAAACCCAGCAAGCCACAAAAAGAGCAAACCTGGAACAAAAGAGGAGAAAGTGACTAGCTAATATAAACCAAAGCAAGTGGGGAAATTCCTCATACACACTGAAACTTGAGACTGGAACTATTATTCCAAATAAAAAATTAAAGAATGAACTGAACCAAGTACAGTACGAAAAAAAACACAAAATGCCAATCATAACAGGCATCAATTTGGAAACAAATTGGATTAAAAGCAAACATCTTGAAAGGTGATATAATTTAGTGTGAATTTTTGTTATGCTCAGGGAATGGTTTTAAACAATGTAGGAACTGGAACAAAAACTTTTTATTTTTTTTTTAGTACAGTACATATAGATAATGCTTGATGTAACCCTTGCACATTCCAAGGGGTTATGCTCAGAAAAATACTTTCAGATAAGGGCATTTTTGGAGAAATCCAGATTTTACACGAATGAGTTGCATAAATATCAATAGGAATGGGTATTATTATTTTTTAGGCCCTAACCAGAAAAACGAATTGGTTAACTATGGCACAAATAAATATCTACAACAATTCTGGCTTTTTGATTGGCTTTTTATTTTTTAATAGTTTATCTACAATATCATGTCATTCATGCATTACGATGAAATATCTGATAAAATTACAAAGTTATTTGGCCATTTTAGGTAATTCCTTATGCCAATTAGGATCATTTATCTGGCACATTATCTGTGTCCAAGCCATGAAGGATGTTATATTCAACTAATAGCTTAACTCGTGCAATAGAAACTGCATGCATACTGGTCAAATTTTTTTAATGCTTATTTATAATAATAATGATAAGGTTATAAAAGTTTTTTATGAATATTAAAAGTACATCTTATTTTCTTAACACACACACACACACACAAGACTAAAATTAGAGGGGCACCAGAAGAGATGTCTTACCTGCGATACGCTTCTCCAGAAAAGTAACACTGCACTTTCTGCCTGTAGCCTGTCAGCTGACAGAGTGCTGGCACAATAAAATTTCTCTCAACATCTGTAATCAGAATGAAATAAATTACCAGTTGGCAATTAAACTTCAAACAGAAATAAGAGAGAGGGTCCAGAATTCTAGCAAAGACTGAGGTGTGGAAACCTATATAAGACATAGTCCTGAGAGGTAGAAATGACAGGTGACTCCAATGTGATGAGAAGGTCGAGATGAGAGAGATGGGGCCATGTCATCCAGGATGAACAATTCAGCTGACTAAAAGATGTCAAGAAAAATTTAAGAAACACATGATTAACATGCAAGTAACTGTAAATTAATTACTGTAGAGATTTTTGAGGGTCAAATGTAATGGAACAAGAAAAATGAACAGAGAATGATAATGTTAAATCAGTCACCAATATAGTATTACAGTACCAGAGAAAATAATAATAATGTGAAGCCAAACAATGAATAATAATACAACACATGAATAATAACACAGTACATAAATAATAATACAGCACATTTCATGATAATGTAAAATCATGAATACACTATTCTGCAGTACTGTATCGTCCTAACACAATGAATGAATGATTATGTAGTCATGAATGAAGTACTATCACAATCAATAATAATGTAAAGCTCTGAATTAAGTCATGAATCAGATATGGTTCAAGTGCATAAGAGCAAACCAAATGTTATAGTTTCTCTCAGTTGTTGTTTTAGATTCAGCTACTTGGAACAAGAAGTTCCAAGTAGCACAGGCTATGGTGAGCCCTTTTAATAGGCAATAGAGTCTTCAGGCATTTCTTCTGATAGGTTGTAGTTCAAATACATATATAGTACCATATATGAAAAAACAAATTACTGTAGACTATTGCAGGGATACTTAAATCAATATTGACAGCAATTAAGTATACATTCTTGTTGAATGCCTAGTATTATTAGTCAAGCAGTTTAACTCTGGCATAATTTTGTGCCCCATTAAGGTCTGAAGCTGTACTGGTTGGGAATAGTATCCTGTTAAAAATTAAGTAGCAACTATAATATATATATATACAGCTGCTATATAAGTATAGGTATAAGCTAGGCTAGGCTTACAGTACTATATACTGTACTGGTATATACTTGTTTCATGAAGTTGGTAAATTAGATATTGGTCAGTAATTATCTAGCCCATGGGGATCACTTTTTTTGTCTACTGGCCTACCTTTGGATTTTGCAAGCACATCTTTGACAATTTGGAGTTACACGATTTGTTGGAGTAAAGAAATTGCTGCCGAGAGCCTTCAAGCAGCATTTTGGTATATCATGATTGATATTTCAACATTGTTTTACTTTGGTATCAGATGTGTTTATTGTGTACACAATATCAGAGAGATTGGTTAGAAATAGGTAAGAGGGGCAGAATAAGTAATTATTAAAAGATGCCAAGCTGGGAAGACGTGAGAATAGCTGTTAGATGTCTACCAATTCATGCTGCATGGTCTGGGTCCCTGGAATATTTCTGGCAAGGTTTGTCCCTATTGCTGAGAAGTTTTTAAAGCTTTGTGACAGCATTAAAGTTCTATGACCTTGGAGGAGTTTCATGTGTATTTTGTGTTTGTTAGATCCTGGAAATTATTTTACATTAATAATTATTTGTTCACGTTTCCTTTTTTTTCATGTTTCCTTTTGTTTGTTTGACTCTGAACCTATCGTATATATCTCTTTCATATTAATGTTTCTTGTTGACTACTCTGAGTATGTTTTTGCAAGCCATGAATTTTTTCATTTGGTTGCAGTTTTTCTGGTGAGTAATGGGCAGTGCATGCTGCAGATTTAGAAGATTTTGGAAAGAAACAGGTTGGAACCTATACAGCATTGATATCTTGAACACAACATAGTTCTGATAACCAGTCCTAAAATAACATACAACTTAAAGAAATAGTACCAAATATTGAATAGAAAAACAGGTGACAAGCAAAATCATGAAAAGGGCTGTATGAACTCTTGGAATGTGGCGATATTAGTTAAATAAACAAATTAATGATAATGTTTATGAAGACATTTTCATATACAGACACTGTACTTCATATATGAAGTTCAGTGGACATTCGTAAGTTTGGCTTAAGAATGCCCCTATTTACAAATTTTTCGGGTTACGAGCTTAATTTCTTTGTAACATTCACTTCAATTTACAAACTTTACCTCGAGTTGTGAGTTTGTTAATACACGTATGGGTCGACCGAGCACATGGTTCCTGGTGGAACAGGCGACCGCGCTCAGTAACAGTGCCTCCCGCGTAGTGACAATCGCGCTTGAATTCTTTGTAAAGAATTTAATTGTTTTTCACCTTTTTTTTTGTTTCTAAACATAAAAGTAATTATTATATACAGTACCATGCCATGGGTCCCAAGAAAGTCAGTGGTACAGTTCAACCTAAGAAAACACATGTGAAAATGACCATAGAGGAAAAACAAGTCTCTATGGAACGGTTCTTAGTGAGAAAAGCAAGTAGTGAGCCACAACCAGGTCCTAGTTGTTTGCAGGCAAAATGTAGGAGAGAGAGTACCTCAGAGATGTCATCACCTCCTGATGTTATAATGGAAGGGGACTCCCCTTCCAAACACTAACACCTCTCCCCCTCCTCACCATCTTCCATACACCAACAAGAGTCATCAGTAAAGGTAAGCTATAACTTGTACATACTATAGTACAAAATATTTGTGTTTATTATGTATAAAATGTATTTGAAGTTAATATTTTTGGGAGTGTGGAACGGATTAATTGAATTTACATTATTTCTTATGGGAAAATTCGCTTCAGGTTACAAATTTTCAGGCTACAAGCCGTCTCTGGGATCGGATTAAATTCGTAAACAAAGGTACCACTGTACAGTATATGAAAATGTTTATGAAAAAATAGAAAATTTAAAAATAGAAAAATAAAGGATTTAGAAGAAGGTAGAGGAAATGTGGGAAACTTGTAACAGAGAAAGAGTATCAGAGACTGGAAACAAAGTGGAAGACTAAAACAAGCAAGCTGGATGGAAGGAAGTGTTGAAAAAAAAAAAAGCCCAACTTCCATATAGGGTTGGGGAAGAATGAGAATATATACAGATGTTGTTGAATATGTAGTCTAAGGATATGAAATAAGGTGTCTAAAATAGTGTGTCAACGTGTCTAATGAAACTAAATAAACTTTATTTTGAATCTATGACAAACTTTAGAAGCATCTTTATAGGTCTGTTTTATCATTCAAATTTACAAAAAGGTAGTAGCAATAATAAAAAAAAAAATACAACAGTCTTCCCAACTAACGTGAACATCTCTGGCAGTCGTCCAAAGGATCATAATCCTCACTGATCCAGCACAAGTCGTGAGCGTTGACACGCGAGATCAGCTCCTCGGGCTGCTCCACTGCAGGTGCTAACACATAGCTCTCAATTATCAGCGCTCCCAAAGTTAATCTGGAAGTTTTCAATTTAATAAAGCAATTACCAATGACAAAATCTCAGGAAGGTAAAAACTCTTAAAGTATGGTTACAGTCTATTGTTATCGAAATACACTGCATATCATATTCTATGATGTACAATATAAGTCTGATATAAAAATCAAGTGTTAAAAGCAACGAAATGCCATTTTCAGGTCTGAAAATGAGAAAGTAAGTGACCTGCTGGATACTATACAACCACACGTGTTCCTAACTATTTTATTTGTAACTGCTCATACCATGTGTGTTTGGTAGTTACCCAAGTGTAGCTACAGGATGAGAGCTTTGCTTGTGATGTCCCGTCTTCCCAGTACTCTGTCCCATAACGCTTTGAAACTACTGAAGGGTTTTGGCCTCCATCAAAACTGTGAAACTAGGTGCAGGTGTGGTTGTAGTGTCCAGTAGGTTACTAGGCCTAATTTTATTAAATAATTCAGATGAATCTTTATTTAATTTTTCAATATAGTACCTGTACTTACCAAGTTGTGCTTGGGGAAATGAGCTACAACTCTTGGATCCTACCTCTCAACACTTAAATGACTGATGTGAAGGATACAGAGCATTTTGAGATCTGTCATATCTACATTTAAAGCTGTGAATGGAGGTTGCTGCCACCACTTCTAAATGTATTCCAATTGTTCACAACCTAGATACTGTAGCTCATTTGGGAACTTATTTCTGTATGTGTCCCCCTTGTTCTTGTACCATCTATGCTAAATAGTCTGTCCTGCCTATTTCTCCAAGTATAGATTTTGTATGTGGTGATCATGTCTACCTTGTTTCTCCTCTCTTCATGCATGCAGGAGGTTGACATCATTGCAGAAATAAGCAAAGAGGTGGGATGACATCAATGTGCTGGGACCTAAAGCAGCAGCAGTGGCTAGTGAAGAAGTTGACTGAAGGAAGCAGTGGATTGTCTCAGTTAATTATATGACAATGTAAATCCTGACAGTGGATAGTGTCAACAACGAGTAAAGATGAATGAATGAATGAAGTGGACTACAGAAGCGAACAATATTCGCTTGTATGAGATGAATGAGCATGGAAAAAGAATGAGTGAGCAAACGAGCGAGGTGGAGCAGCACCAAGACTCACTCACCCGGCTGACCACACCAACAC